AAGCATGATTGATTGATTGATAACTGACTGATGATGATGATGAAACCAAGTAAATCTAGTAAATGAATCTTTCATGAGTTAGTGTTGAGGTAGCCATTTGTATGTATACACAAACAATCAAACAAAAAGTAGACAGTGCATGAAAAAATCATTAATGGGTTACAGGAAGGTGAATTACATTCAAACATTATCTATCAAAAAACAAATTAATAATAACTCAATTTTACATTATAGTTTACAATACTCATTATATTTACATGGATAGTTTACATAAAATAATCATGTGGTCTCTCTTTCTCCCGTCCTCCCTGTGCTCCAGTTTGTAAACAGATTCAATAAAATAAGAAACTAGGACACTGTATTACTTAATATACACATCATTCTCATATGATCTGTGCTCTATCTTGCCAAGATCACTTACACTGACAGAAATTTCTTTAACTTTAGAGAAAAAAAAATTAAAAAACCTTTAATTCTCCTTTCATTATCCCTTCCTCACCCTTTTCAGATCCTTTCTAAAACCACCCCTTTCAACACCTTTCCTTACCTTCTTCCTTTTTCGCAGCCTTCTCTACTTTCATGTCATCTTCCTCTATCTCTTGCTGGGTAATGGGAATGTCATCCTCTTCTTCCTCATCGTCACCTGCCTTCCCCTCCCCTTCTCGGACCTTGTAAGGGTTCTCGCATTCAGGGACTAGGCCGCTCTCATCCGTGCTGCAATCCCACACGGTGATGCCGCCATCTTTGCACACCTAAGGATACACATTTTAAGGGATCTCTTTATATTTTTGCGAAATATCTTTAAAAATCTTTTGATTGATCTACTTATTTTTCATTCCTTTATAATTTTTTTCTATCTGTTCTTCTGCAATGGTCTTTTATCCTTCTTGATGGATACATACATGCCTATGATAAATCTAGGAATTTGTTACAATCTAACGGACAAGCTGATCATAGTATATTCTAATTTTCTAGCATAAGAATTAAAATTACACATTTCTATCTGATACTATGGGAATACTTACAACATACAAATTATATGTTTTGTCATCAAAATATACACCAGTTACTCCTTCCCTGGCACCACCAATGCGATATTCAGTCAAGTTCTTCATCTTAACAAAGGAACAAACACGTGTTGTCATGTCTCTTGACCCATAAGCAAGCAACCTGGAAGAAAATGTAATGTTTTAATTATAGTCTATCATACATCCCATACCAATTGGAGTAAAACCTGTATCTTACAGTGCTCTGTGAAACTGATATTATATACTTTAATGTTCTGTGAAACATACATCATACATCTCTTCATATCATTACTTAGGCATTAATTTCTTTTACAGCAATAAATATCATGTTGGCAAAGATATACATACAGACTCATATATACATCAATATTAACTGCATATGCAAAAACTAGGAAGGAAGACCCACTTTGAATCATGGGACCAATCCAAGCAGGTGGCGAGATCAGAGGCTCCATGGTACACTCTCTCCAAGACAAATGGGTTGAATATCCGTCTGTCAACACCCGGTGCCAAATATATATACACTGGAGGAGGAAAGAGAGATTTAGTTATTATTATATTTCAAAATGATTTCATTAACTGAAGGAGCCACAGATAAAATGCCTTTCCTTTCTGTGAAGAACAAAAATAGGGAGACAATAACAGCCATGCTTAAATGTAATATCTGAGGACTCCGAAGTAGAAAGATGATGTAATAATCATAAATTACAGTATATGCAATTTTTTCAAAATACATACAAAAAAGGAAAAAGGAGGACCGATAGAAAGATGATGTAATAATCATAAATTACAGTATATGCAATTTTTTCAAAATACATATAAAAAAGGAAAAACACTATAACCAATCCAGTACTGAGGCTTAAACCAAATTAATAAACAAACTCTACTGGACTGCAATGGACTGCTTACATTCTTTTACACTGACATTATACAATAAAAAAAAAAAAAAAACTGAAGAAAACACTAACCTGTGTCTTCTTTGGCCACAGCAAAGTGCTTTCCATCTGGACTGAACTTAATACTGCGAACCGTTCTGTTGAAGTGCTTCTTGTACAGCACTCTACGGAAATTCAGGTTGATGACATGCACCTCTCCTCCTGTAAGCAGGGATGGGACATAGCGATGTGATTTATAAAGGGTTTGATATATCTGACTTCTACTTCTTCCTGTATAATACTTGATGCTTATATCTTTACTTACATATCTAAACATGCACAGCCATAAAATTATCATCATTGTTCTTATATCAATTATCAACATTACTTGCATTATAGCATCACACTGCAAGAAAAGCTGTGAACAAGTGACAGATAAATCACAATTGAAATACATATATAAACAGAACAATAAAAATAACTGAAGGAATTGGGCAATATAGCTTAAATATGAGTCTTTTAGAGCAGTATTAAAAAGAAATGGACAGGCAAAACTTTCTACATAATATAAATCTTGCATTATCTTACAAGATGCACAAAACACAAAAAGACATATTGAAATACTTGTCATTCTAACTGAAACACTAAGTAAATAAATTAATCAATACTTACGATATACACTGGCTAACAGGATCACACCATTGGGCGACAAAGCCAGAGCTTTATAGTTAAACTTGGCTTCTATGGGCAATGTATAGGATTTATTGTTGCGCAGGTCATAGACAGATATCTTATTTCCCACAGGGCAGATAACTGTATTACCATCATTTGAAAATACGATGTCCCCCCGGTTGTATACCGTCCCAAGAAGGTTGGAAAACTGAAAAAGAACAGATAAATAGGGAAAACAAATAAAAAATGAACTATGAGAGAGGTAAAAGGGGATTCGTGTATAAGCATACTTATCTGTACATTCTAAATGCGCAAAATAATTAGAGATCATGTAAGTAAACATTTCAAAAAATGTTCACAAAAACACCAATTCGAAATTATAATTCCTACATTCATACATTTCTATACACCACACACACGTTCTATATTATTTTAAATTCTCGCGATACTGAGAACCCTCAAAATTCAACCAACACGAAACTAACCTTATAAGAAAACTTCATCTTCTTTGATTTACAAAAAAATATCACAATTTTCAACACGTATGTTTACTTCCACTGCCGTTCCCACATGTTCGAGCCTCGAGGTTTGTTTACATTGGCGGTCGGGGTGTACATTTTTTTCAAATTGCGCTCTGGGTATTCATCTTTCAAAACTATATATATTTTTTTGTATATATTTTTTTCTTAGCAGTGAAGAAAGGTGATGAACATTTATTATATATGTTGGTAACTTAGCACATTAATTTGGATGATAGAATGATAGAACACACACACAAACACTCGCGCACACACACACACATACACTCGCGCACACACACACACACACACACACACACACACACACACACACACACACACACACACACACACACACACACACACACACACACACACACACACACACACGCATACGCACACACACACACACATACACACATTACATAACCATATAATTATACATATAAGCATACGTACATTCATATATATATATATATATATATATATATATATATATATATATATATATATATATATATATTTATATGTATATATGTGTGAGTGTGTATATATACATATATATACATATATACAAATATGAATATATATATATAAATATATATATATACATATATATTTAATGTGTGTATATATATATATTTACACACACACGCACACACACACGCATATATAGATAGATAGATTGGCTACACACACACATCCACATACATAGAATTATATACATAAATGCATATAATCATATTTTTTTCTTTCTTTCTTTCTTTCTTTCTTTTTATAGCCATTCATTCCACTGCAAGACATAGGCCTCTCTCAATTCACTACTGAGAGGTTATATGGCAGTGTCACCCTTGCCTGATTAGATGCCCTTCCTAATCAACCGCGGTTGTGCCACGGCGTCGACTTCCCTTACGACACCTGCGTTGGACTTCTCAAGTCGATATGTCATTTTCTCGGGCTCGAGCCAGCAGTCAGAACGCAGGCATTTTTACGACTGCCGTGGCGAGAAATTGAACTCAGGACCAGGAGGGTCGGAGGCCAATGCTCTAACCACTGGACCATCGCGGCAGTCACACACACACACACACACACACACACACACACACACACACACACACACACACACACACACACACACACACACACACACACACACACAGATATATATGTATATATATATATATATATATATATATATATATATACATATATATACATATATATGCATACATATGTACACACACATATATACATATATGTATATCTATACATACACACACATGCATGTGTGTATATATGTATTTATATATACACATATGTGTGTGTGTATATATATACACATATATGTGTGTGTGTGCGTGCGTGCGTTTGTGTGTGTGTGTGTGTGTGTGTGTGTGTGTGTGTGTGTGTGTGTGTGTGTGTGTGTGTGTGTGTGTGCGTGCGTGCGTGCGTGTGTGTATATATATATATATATATGTATATGTATATATATATATATATATATATATATATATATATATATATATATATATGTATGTATGTATGTGTATGTATATCCATAAATGTGTATATATATATTGTGTAAATAAATTAATTAATAAATATGTATATATACACATACAATCACACAGACACACACACGCACACACAAACATATGTAATGTATATGTATATACTATGTGTGATGTATGTAATATAAGTATATGTAATATAATATGCATGTACGTACGTATGTATGTTTGAGTGTAGATATGTATATGTATATATATATATATATATATATATATATATATATATATATATGTGTGTGTGTGTGTGTGTGTGTGTGTGTGTGTACACATTAGTTAATCTGTTTTATTAAATGAGTGAAATGCAATATGGAAACAAGGGAAACATTTTGTTTTGTTTTTTATTTACACATGCGCATGAATCATTTTCATACACAAGACTGAACAAATGTATTTATAAAGTACAAATTTAAAAGTACAGAATATTGCATATTTTGACAGCTGAATTCTCAGCGACGGAGAAAATTAGAATGCGAGGAAAAGATTATGGTAAAATATACATACAAGTAATCTACACATTTTACCTTTACTACATAGTACATACAAAAGATGAGCTATACTTCCTGCCGATCTTTGCTTCTTCCTAAGTACACACAAAAGCTTGGCTGTATTGCCTGCCTATCTATACTTTTTTATCTAAGTACAGCTCAGCCTGCTTGTCTACAGTATAGTTTTTTATAGTTTTTAATTTAAATACAGCTCAGCTACATTGCCTGCCTATCTATACTTTTTTCATCTAAGTACACACAAATGCTGACCTGTATTGCCTCCCTATCCATATTTTTTTCTTCCTAAGTACATATGTGAAAGCTCAGCTACTGTGCTTACTTTCCACTACCCTATGACTGACTGCTGATCATTCCCCTGATGCGCTTTCCGACCAGCCGAGCTCCCTTGCCGTTCGCTTCTTCGTATCCGGCCATTCCCTCTTCGCACCTCTTCACCCATTCGTAAATCCTCGTGTATTCGTCGGGAATGAAGCCAGTCTCGATCACCGAAGTCACTGGAGGAACTAGCGCCAAGTCCGCCACCGTGATGTGGTCAGTGGCGGCCGCGAAATCAGCCCGCGAGAGGAACTTTTCGAGCCAGCGCAGACACTCTTGGAATTTCTCCTTTTTCTCGTCGTAGGTGGGGTCGCGTTTGCCGCCCAGTTGGGAGTGCTTGGTGGTGGAGGTGGCGGAGGTGGCGGTGGGTGGGGAAAGAAGGGAGTTAGGGTGGCGTTGAGATGGAGGGATGGTTGGGAGGGAGGGCAAGGGGGTAAGGGGAGGGAGAGAGAGGAAGAGAGGGAGGGAGGGAGGGAGGAGGAGGAAAAGGAGGGAGAGAGGGAAGGTGGGAGGGAGAGTGGGAGAGAGGGGAGAAGGGGACAGAGTAAGAGAGAGAGGGTAAGTGAGGGAGAAGGGAAGAGAGAGAGGGAGTGAGGGAGGGAAAGGGAGAGAGAGAGAGACATAGATGCAGATACTGAGAATAATGATGATGAGTGAAGGAACAGTGTCAGAGACAGAAAGGATACTCTCCATCACCGAAAAATAAACAGCAGAAAAACTAGAGAAAGAAATATCAATCCATATATATACACACACCATCCCTTCCATATAAACAAAACACACAAAACAAACCATTATACATCATCTTCCTTCACCGCACGCGACCCAAAGCGGCCTCGACTCACCATGAACGCCCTAAAACGCGGGAAGAACGTAGCATTGTCGAAATACAGAAGACTGTCTATCCTGGCACGTGTCACAGCATCCCGCGGGTAGAGGGCGCTGTCACCCTTTGAGAATCTGGTCACCAGGTAAGTGCAAATGGCCCGGCTAGCGGTGGGAGAGGAAAGAAAAAAGAAAATAAATAAATAAAAATGGAGTAAAATGAAGGAAAGAAGGAAAAAAGAAAAGATATAATAATGAGGTGAAATTAAGGTGTTTGTGGGAATGTAGACAGGGTGGGAAATGCGGATGAGAAAGATAAATAAAGAAAAGAAAAGAAAAAGTGAAATTATAGTGAAGAGGTAATTGGTGAAATGGTGACGAGACATTTAATTTTAAAAGCGTTAATGGAAATTAGGACATACTGGAAAGGGGCTGAAAATGAAGGAAAAAAAGGAAGAAAATAAAGGCTATGGTGAAGATAGACTGGATGGGATAATGATGACAAATTAAGAAAAAATAAATAAAAAGCGATGATGAAAATAACGACAGAGTGAAATGATAAATAAAGAAAAACTGGGCGATAAAATAAAGGAACTAGTAAAAATAAATAAAGAGTGGAATTATTATGAAAAGTGAAGAAAAACAAGTCGGCAAAGTATAGACGCTGCTGAAAATAAAAAAGTGTCATATTGGTCAATGAGAAGCAGATAAACAAGATGATAAGATAATGACGATAGTAAAAAAAGACAAATGAATCAACGAATCAAAATAAGAGGACGAAATACAAACGATAATAATAGTAAAGACAGGATAAGCTGGCAATCAAAAATGAAAGAAGAAAATAGGCAAAATAAAGATAACAGTGAAAATAAAAATGGCAGAGTGTTGGTTATACAGGTGAGAAGAAAACAGGATGGAAATAGACGGAGGAAGGGAAAAAAATAAATAAATAAGAAAAAGATGATAGGGAAATTGGGTGTAGAAAGGATAAGGAGGAAAGAAAGGAGAAAGTAGTAACAGGAAATAAAGTAAATGAGGGTGACTGAATAATGATGGCAGAGGTAAAAATATAAACGTATGGTATCTGTAGTATAGTTATATAATAAAATATAAATATATGTATTTGTACTGAAAAATGTAAGTGTATATATTTACAGTAAACTTTACAGTAAAATATAAACGTATGGTATCTGTAGTATAGTTATATAATAAAATATAAATATATGTATTTGTACTGAAAAATGTAAGTGTATATATTTACAGTAAAATATAAACGTATGCATTTACAATAAAATATAAATATATGTATTTGTACTGAAAAATGTAAGTGTATATATTTACAGTAAAATATAAACGTATGCATTTACAATAAAATATAAATATATGTATTTGTACTGAAAAATGTAAGTGTATATATTTACAGTAAAATATAAACGTATGCATTTACAATAAAATATAAATATATGTATTTGTACTGAAAAATGTAAGTGTATATATTTACAGTAAAATATAAACGTATGCATTTACAATAAAATATAAATATATGTATTTGTACTGAAAAATGTAAGTGTATATATTTACAGTAAAATATAAACGTATGCATTTACAATAAAATATAAATATATGTATTTGTACTGAAAAATGTAAGTGTATATATTTACAGTAAAATATAAACGTATGCATTTACAATAAAATATAAATATATGTATTTGTACTGAAAAATGTAAGTGTATATATTTACAGTAAAATATAAACGTATGGTATCTGTAGTATAGTTATATAATAAAATATAAATATATGTATTTGTACTGAAAAATGTAAGTGTATATATTTACAGTAAAATATAAACGTATGCATTTACAATAAAATATAAATATATGCATTTGTATTGAAAAATGTAAGT